TTCTTCTTTTTCTTCTTCTTCTTCTTGTCTGCCCTTCCTTCCCCTACCCATTCCTGAAGTTTCCCACTGCCTAGATATCCTTTCTCCGAGGGTGTGTGCAGCCAGGGACACCCCCGCTGTGCCCTCCAGAAGGACTCTGGCTCAGGCCTTCCTTCCAGCCCACCCACCTGCCCCACCTGCCCCGTGTGTATGTCCTACCTTCCTTCCTTCCTTCCCCTGCCTGCTCAGGAGGCTCCCCACTGCCTAGTTGTCCTTCCTCTGAGGGTGGGTGCAGAGAGGTGCCCTCCAGAAGTGCTTCCATGGTCACCTGCCAGTCCTTCCCTGGCAGCCTTTGTGGAGGAGGGGCTCTGCGGGGACCGGGGGCCCTGCCACATCCCAGGGTATGCAGATTCGACCAGAGTTCTCTTACCAAAAGGGGCTGACCAAGCTTGGGGAATTTGCACAGTGAAGCTCTTGAAAAGTCACATCCCCCCAAATTCTTGTTGGTCTCTGAAGTGCTACTGGACTCGGACTTAGCCATTCTACTCCAGGCCAACCCAGCTACCCTCTGAGACGATCTTTCTGCTCCTCTCTTCAGATGACCGCTGCACCAAGTTCTATCATCCGTCCCAGGGAAGCGAGCACCTCAATAAGATCTGCCACGGTGACGTTTGTCGGTGCGCGGAAGGTAAGGGTGGGGCAGAGCGGGGAGAGGAAGTAACTGCTTCTGCTGCTCACCAAAGATCCCCAAGGAATTTGTGATCTCCAGTTCTGCAAGGCTGGATCTTTGTGTCTCTGTGGTCTTTCAAAGGGTCTGGTAAAAGGTAAAGGTCTCCCTTGCTCGAAAGCCAGTCGAGTCCGACTCTAGGGTTGCGGTGCTCATCTCCGTTTCAAAGCCAAAGAGCCAGCGCTGTCTGAAGACGTTTGTGTGGTCATGTGGCCGGCATGACTAAACACCAAGGCGCACGGAACGCTGTTCCCTTCCCACCGAAGTGGTACCTATTTATCTACTTGCAATTTCCTGCTTTCAAACTGCCAGGTTGGCAGGAGCTGGAACTAGAGACGGGAGCTCACTCAGTCATGCGGCACCCGGGTCTCGAACTGCTGAACTACTGACCTTCCACAGCCTGCAGTTCAGCGTCTTAACCACTTGAGCCACCGCAGCAGAGATCTTTGTGTCTCTGTGGTCTTTCAAAGGGTCTGGAGCTGTTGGCTTTTTCAGCTTTGCAAATTCAGTTTGGCTATTCAGAGTGTTGAAATGAGCAGGACCTCGTGTGGTTTATAGAACCCACGGTATGATCCTGGAGGTCTGGTTGCACGATGCTGTTAAGTTATTCTTGGAAATATGTCCTAAGCTACCTTCTTGGTGCCCCTACTGTCTTCTCTTGGCCAAGAGTGGCCGGGAGAGACCAAGGGAGACTGGCGTACAGGTCTTTAAAATCCCCCAAGAAAACCTTGTCCTCACCGAACTCTTCTTTCCTAGAAATTGAGTTCCCCGGTAGCTTCCAGTTGCCTCCAAGAAGAGCCCCCCCGGCTTTCCTGCTGCCCCCTCATGCTCTTGCTCACTAGGAGTGTGTGTGTGTGTGTGTGCACGAGAGGGAGATGAAGACATGGGGTGGACCTCCTTCCTCCTTTTCCCGTTCCTCTCCCTCTGTCACTCCGCCAGCAATGTCCCTTCAGTGCCTGGCTGACTCAGTGAAAAGTATTGGCGTTCAAGGCTTAGCAGGGTGAAATCAGCTCACATGTATCGGTTACATTGGAAAACGGAAGATAAACTAGCCGGTCCAATGCCGGCTTATATGCGTATCCATGTGCACACCCAACACCCCCCCCCACTTCCCGTGATTCGTTCTATTTACAAGTCCTCAGTCCCCATAGGTTCCTATCAGGATCCGCGCGAACCTGTTGGCCTGTGCTAGGATCCGAGCTGGCTATTGTTCTAGGACCTAATGGTCAGAAAGTCTGTAAGACCGCATGGCCGGGCCCACATAAGAACATAAGAACATCAGAGAAGCCAAGATTGGATCAGGCCAAAGGTCCATCCAGTCCAACACTCTGTGTCACACAGTGGCCAGAAATACCAGGTGCCATCAGGAGGTCCACCAGTGGGGCAGGACACTAGGAGCCCTCCCACTGTTGACCCCCAAAGCACCAAGAACACAGAGCATCCCTTGCCCCAGACATAAGGACATAAGAGAAGCCAATGCTGGATCAGGCCAATGGCCCATCCAGTTCAACACGCTGTCACGCAGTGGCCAAAAATACCAGGGGCCATCAGGAGGTCCAGCAGTGGGGCCAGGACACCAGAAGCCCTCCCACTATCCCCCCCCAAGCACCAAGAACACAGAGCATCCCTTGCCCCAGACATAAGAACATCAGAGAAGCCCATGTTGGATCAGGCCAATGGCCCATCCAGTCCAACACTCTGTGTCACACAGTGGCCAGAAATACCAGGTGCCCTCAGGAGGTCCACCAGTGGGCCAGGACACTAGAAGCCCTCCCACTGTTGACCCCCTCCCGAAGCACCAAGAATACAGAGCATCCCTTGCCCCAGACATAAGAACATCAGAGAAGCCAATGTTGGATCAGGCCAATGGCCCATCCAGTCCAACACTCTGTGTCACGCAGTGGCCAGAAATACCAGTGCCATCAGGAGGTCCACCAGTGGGGCCAGGACACTAGAAGCCCTCCCACTGTTGACCCCCTCCCGAAGCACCAAGAATACAGAGCATCCCTTGCCCCAGACATAAGAACATCAGATTATCAACCTCGATCATGTCACCCCTCAGTCGTCGTTTCTCCAAGCTAAAGAGCCCCAAGCGCTTTAACCTTTCCTCATAGGGAAAGTGTTCCAACCCTTTTATCATTAGAGTTGCCCTTTTCTGCACTTTTTCCAAAGCTAGAATATCCTTTTTAAGGTGTGATGACCAGAACTGCACACAGTATTCCAAATGAATACATGCGGCAGTGGCCATCTTAATACACAACAGTCAGGTTCCCAGTCAAGTCACTCTCCGCCGATGTTCCCTCTGAGCTGAGTTAATTGTGAGCCAGCTCACAGTTTTTTAGCCTCCAGCTCACACACTTTTGTCTCAGCTCAGGAAGGGTGGCTCCAGAGCAAAGTAACTTGCGCAGGAGCCAAACCGCTTGCTCACAACTTTAATGCCAGTCGCTCACAAAGTAGGATTTTTTTTGCGCGCAAGACTCCACAGCTTAGAGGGAGCATTGCTCTCCACACGCACTTTAGCAGTGAATGTTTTATTTAGTGATATGAGATGCTGTGGGTTCAAACTCTTTGTTAGGACTGAATTGCAAAGGCAGGAAAGCGGGATCGAGGCACCACCCCAAAATTCCATTCACAACCACGTCAGCATTCCAGGGCTCTTTTTGTAGAAAAAGCTCAGCACTCATTAGCATAATAGGCCATACCCAACAGCAGGAACTCATTAGCATATTGGGCCACACTCCTGACAGAACAGCTCATTAGCACATTAGGCCGCACCCCCATGTTACCAGAAGTGTGCTCATCCAGCCACACCCACCTTTTGCTTGTTATTCTGTTTACCTTGTTTGTTGTCAAAACCCAGGGCCTTTTTTGGTAGCAGGAACTCCTTTGCATGTAGCCAATCCTAATGAGTTCCTGTTGTTGGGTGTGGCCTATTATGCTAATGAGTTCCTGCTGGGCGTGGCCAACTTGGGAGCCAGCCGGAGCTCCGTTCCTGTGCGTTCCTTCCCCAAAATAGCCCTGATTACTGCAATGACTCTGAAAGATATACAGCCATTATCTAGCCAGGCACAGTCTTACTTCAGGGACATTTCTGGTGTGAAGGATGTCTTGAGGCCCCGTAGGAAAGTTACCAAGCAAGCCTCCTTAATTCACTACGAACACTCACTAGGAATGCAGTGGCAGGCGAGGGCAGTGATAAGGGTACAGAGGGCAAGCGGAATATAGCAGGTTAAAATACATCAGGTTTCAGCTAGCCAGATGCCCAAGTCTGACACCTTTCACACCAAGGATTTCATGGTGGGGTTTGTGTGTGTGTGTGTGTGTGTGTTCGCATTCCATCATCCCCGTGCCCAGACCATTAATGCCCTGTTTCATCCATGCACACAAAATTATGCTTTATTTTAAACCTTTTTTAAAAATGGTGTTTCTTGGGAAGGATGCTATTGACAGGAGTCATTTTGTGAGCAGTGTCACTGCAGGACTTCAGTAAAATTCACAAGTCAGTGACTCTGCAAAGCCAGCCAGATTCTGCCAGGTCCTGGCCTGGCTCCGCCTCTGCGTCCAGGGTTTGGGGAATGAACAGCTGGCAACTCCTCTAGCATGTCCAGTTTGTAACACCTGGGGGACTGCCTAAGCCATCCCCTGTGCCTTCATGGTCTTTCCCTCTGCTCTCCTGAGAGCCAGTTTGGTGTCGTGGTGAAGTGTGCGGACTCTAATCTGGGAGGACCAGGTTGGATTCCCCACTCCTCCACTTGCACCTGCTGGATGACCTTGGGCAAGCCGTAGTTCTGATGAGCTGTCCTTCATGGGAAGGAAGAAGACGCTTTTGATAGCATATGGGGAATTTTTTATAGATGGCTGGAGTAGATTGTCTAGATTAACAGACAGGTATGAAAATATGAGTGCTAATATAGATCATTAAAAAAAAAGAAAAAGAAAAAGACCCGTTTTCATCAGAGCTCTCTCAGCCCCACCTACCTCACAAGGGTGTCTGTTGTGGGGCGGGGAAGGGAAAGGAGTTTGTGAGTCACTTTGAGACTCCCTTGGGAAGTTAAGGGGTGGGGTAGAAATCCAATCTCTTCTTCCTCTTCTTCCTCTTCTTCCTCCCAAAGAGAACTGCTTCTTGCACAGACAAGGAGATGAACCCGCCGACTTGCAGGAGCGAGTTCTGGAAGCCTGCAAGCCAGAAGTGGATTACGGTAACTGCCGTTGGATTGCGGGGTTGCGTGCAGGAGGGAAGGGGTTGTGTTGTGTCCAGTCGCCTCCTTTGAAAGGTCAATGGCCAACGCCTCCGTTCATCCCCAGAGTTTGCCTCCTGGGCAGCGGCCTCATCTGCGTGACCGGGCTGCAGTTGCCCTAACTTTATCTGCTGCAATCGAGAGTTGCCAGTCTCAAGGAGGGGCCTGGAGATCTCCCGGAGTTCCAAATGATCTCCAGGAAACAGAAATCAGCTCCCCTGCAGAAAACGGGGGCCGATGGAGGGCAGACTCTATGTATGGGAGGATACCCGGCTGAGGGCCTTCCCCTCCCCCAGGGCCCACTCCAGAATCTCCAGGGATTCCCCAGCCCGGAGCTGGTAGCCCTTTGCAGGTCTCTCGCCTTGACCAGAGTGGCCCGTAAGTCGGTTCTGAGTTGATGGGACTTTCCACCACCATCCCCATCAGCTCTCAGAAGCTAAGCAGGGTCAGCTCTGGTCAGTACTTGGGTGGGAGACCACCAAGGAAGTCCAGGGTCGCTACGCAGAGGCAGGCAAATGGCAAACCCACCTCTGTTTGTCTCTTGCCTTGAAAACCCCACAAAGGGTCACTGTAAGTTGGCTGTGGCTGGACGCCACGTTCCGCCACCACGTCCCTGAGCCACGTTGGAAGGTTCCGGTGCAGCAGACTGCCCTGTGCCACCTCCTGCAGTTCCTCCTTTGAGCTGGAGGGAACAATTTCCCCCTCTAGTTCTAAAGAACACGAGCGCCGAAGAATAGATTATTTTGAACTATGGTGCTGGAGAAGACTCTTGAGAGTCCCTTGGACTGCAAGGAGATCAAACCAGTCAATCCTAAAAGAAATCAACCCTGACTGTTCCCTGGAAGGCCAGATAATGAAACTGAAGCTCAAAGACTTTGGCCACCCAATGAGAAGGGAGCACTCACTGGAGAAGAAGACCCTGATGCTGGGAAAGATTGAGGGTCAAAGAAGACGGGGACGGCAAAGGAAGAGATGGTTAGACAGTGTCACAGATGCAACGAACATGAAGTTGAGCCAACTTCAGAGGACGGCGGAAGACAGGAGGGCCTGGCGTGATCTGGTCCATGGGGTCGCAAAGATGAACAACATCAACAACAAGTTCTAAAGTGGGATGAGCCGGGAGGCTTCCTGCCACCAGGGTGGGGGGAGATCTCTGTCGAGAGAGGAGGTCCGTGCCTGAGCTAATGCCTGTTCTCGGTCTTTGTTTTAAGTGTACAAGGCCAAGCTTACTCGAATCGAAGAAGAAAACGGTTACGACAACTACATGATGGAAGTTCTGGAAGTTATTAAAGAAGGTAAGGATTTCCTTCCTGGAGGAGGGCAGGGAACCTCGGATTAAAAAAAATCAGAAATGTTATTCTTAAAACCTGCTACTTTTTGCCCTATGTTTTAATGGTTGGCGTTTGCTTTTATACAGGCATGATATGTTGGTTTTGTGAATGAACTTTGCGTTTTTATTTTCATGATACGTTTTCATTTCTCTGTTTTAAAATGTAAGCCTCCTTGGTCGCCCTGGCTGGATTGAAAGGTGGGATATAGATTCTGCAAAGAGATAAATAAATCGCATCGTATCTGTTTGAGGCCTGAGTTCCATCACAGGCCAGGTCTCCTGAGGCCTCTTCCTACCAGGTCCCTCCACCTGTCCTTTGAACAGCAGGTTGATCTGCAAAGAATTGTCAGGTTGAAAAGTAATGGAGATAGTAGGATTAAGTAAGGTGGATCTTAAAATAGATGGAGATCTATTATTTATGGGCGTACTGGGAAACTATAATATTGAGAGACGAAATCAGGATGTTTTTAAAGCAATGTTACTAGCAGCGCATGCTGTGATTGCATATGGTTGGATATACGACTATATCCAGTCAGATATATTGGAATGTATTTGACAAGATAAGGCATGGGATGGAAAGATGAAGGCGATAAAAAAGAAATGGTCTACATACTTTCAATGGGTAAATAATGGAGAAGCCAATACTGGTATACGTGAAAAAATGAAAAAAATGTGCTCATGGTTAAAAATGTAATTTACAGTTATGTGATGGTCACCTGGTGGGATTGGGATATAAAAGGGGGGGGGGAAATGTATCATAAGAGAATTGGGATTGTATTGTAATGTAATAATAATTTATGATGCATATAATAATAATAATAAAAAAGAGTCTGTTTAGAAAAAGAAAAGAAAAAAAAGGTTGAAAAGTACTGGGTTCGACGCATGGAGGACTCCGGACCATGGCATGCGTTCAGACGCGTTTATTGTACTTCACAAGCCAAAGAAAAATGGCCCTGCAAAGGCCGACTATATACACTCCCCCCCCGGCACACCTCTGTCCGCATTGGAGGGTTTGAATTTCCCGCCAAGGGTGCTATTGGTGGACTCGCAGTGGACCGGGATCCTCGGTCCCCTTTGTGTTTGGGGACCAAGCTCCTGCTTAGCCACGGACCCCTAGTGGCGGTCCGCGTACATAACACAGGTAAGACTGGCCTTCTTCAAGGCAGTTTCTTGTGATTAGGTGCCTGGAATTGCATCTGTGTCCATACATGCCTCCTAAGGGCATAATTCTTTCTAAAGAAAGGGAGGGCTTTTCTGCATTCTTATTTTCCCTACTTGTAACTTCCTGTTTCTTTGGGGGGTGGTTCCCGCATGTGTTTGGCTCCCTCTAGTGGTTGATTTGGTATCACACTGGTTTATGTCCAGGATAAAAGGTAAAGGTAAAGGTTCCCTTGCTCGAAAGCCAGTCGAGTCTGACTCTAGGGTTGCGGTGCTCATCTCCGTTTCCAAGCCGAAGAGCCAGCGCTGTCCGGAGACGTTTCCGTGGTCATGTGGCCGGCATGACTAAACACCAAGGCGCACGGAACGCTGTTCCCTTCCCACTGAAGTGGTACCTATTTATCTACTTGCCATTTCTTGCTTTCGAACTGCTAGGTTGGCAGGAGCTGGAACTAGAGATGGGAGCTCACTCCGTCATGCGGCAACCCGGGTCTCGAACTGCTGAACTACCAACCTTACACAGCCTGCAGTTCAGCATCTTAACCACTTGAGCCACCGCAGCTCCTTATAAAAACCTACAATTTAAATCTTCAGGGAAATATCCCAGACATAAACCGGTGTAAGAGGGAATCGAACACTAGAGGGAGAAAAACACTTGTGGGACAGAAGACCCCCCCCCCAAAGAAACAGGAATTTGTGAGCGAGGAAAGTAAGAATGCAGCTTTATTCTCCTTATCATAGATAAAAATAGCCCCCCCCAGTAATTCTTTCAGTTTAGCATTAGTCGATTGATCAGCCAATTAAGGTGATTCAGGCTCACAGCCGTAACGAAAGAATTTCTGAATGTTTTCCTCTAAATCCGCCAGGGACTGACGTCAACCCACGAGCCAGACCCCGCAAGTTTATCAGCCACATGAAATGCAGGGAGTCTCTGCAGCTGCAGGTGAACACGGATTACCTGGTCTCAGGCCACAGGAAAGACCTGTGGCCCACCAAAAACGAGTACGTATTTTACTCCTTTCTTGGATTTATATCTGGCTTCCCCCACGTTGGGTCACAAAGCGCCTGACAACAGATCTAATTAAGTCATTCCGCTCAAGAGTTTTTGAAAACAGCCAGTTGGCCGGGAAGATGAGTACAAGATGAAAAGTGGCCCGTCACTTTCCATCTCCAGATTTCTCAGGGGCTCTGGAGGAGCCCTTTTTCTACCATGTTCTGGTGACATACACAGAACGGGGTGAACCCCAGAGCAAAGACCATGGTTCCTAGAGCGATGTGATTATCACCACCAGTGTTTCCTCTAAGCTGAGTGAGTGTGAGCTAGCTCACATTTTTTTAGCCTCCAGCTCACAGATTGTTGTCTTAGCTCAGGAAGAATGGCTCTGAAGCAAACTAATTTATGCAGTAACCAAATTGCTTGCTCACAGCTTTAATGCCAGTGGCTCACAAAGTCGAATTCTTGCTTACAAGACTCCACGCCTTAGAGGGAACATTGATCACCACCAATGTTCCCTCTAAGCTGTGGAATCTTGTGAGCAAAAATTCCACATTGTGAGCTACTGGCATTAAAGTTGTGAGCGAGCAATTTGGCTACTGCATAAATTAGTTGGCTCTGGAGCCATCCTTCCTGACTTGAGACAAAAATGTGTGAGCCGGAGGCTAAAAAACTGTGAGCTAGCTCACACTAACTCAGCTTAGAGGAAAGACTGATTATCACCACCTGTGCGGTTGCTGGGATGGACAAATACGCCTCCCCTCTTGCTGTTGAGCAGTAAGAAAGGCCGTTGCCATAAGTCTCTTAGCAGACCAAAGCTCCATTTCACCAGCTGGGGCAGGACACAGAAGCCCCAAAATTATGCCACTGCCTGGCCGAACGACATGCTACACTCTTTAAATGAGTTGGATTAGAAATTTCTTGACCCAACTCTCACTCCGCTCGGTCAGATGGGGCCTCAGGCCCCCTCCCCCCCAGTGGGCCAGAAAAACAACACCGTGGGGATGCCCTTCCAGCCCACTCAGTGGGCCGAGAGTCAGGTCAGGGAAACTGGGACCCGACTCATTGAAAAAAGTAACATCTAATTTAGCCCTTAGAGAGATCAGTATTTGTCAGAAACAATATTTTTGTATTCTGTCTTTGTTGAATCCCCAAAGTCTCCAAAATAAATCCACGTTTAAAAGGTTAAAGCAAAATTTATTCCAAAGCGATTGGTAGAAACAGGAACACTGGAAAACTGTTAGGAATGGATACAGACCCCAGAGGGCAACATAATAAAGGAACTTTGAACCACAGTATAACCAATAGATCCCTTTCCCGCCGGCGCGCAGAGGGATGGCACTAGCCGGCAATTACATGGGAATGCAATGGTTTGTCTTTCTCAAAACAGACACATGGTTCACAAGAGAAAGATTCCACTAACGAGCAAGCAGATAACGGGCATCTCCTTCTCACACCAGCTGGGCAACCTTGAGCAGTTACATGACTCTACAACAAGAATGCAGATAGCAGAATGTAGCAGGCAACAAGGGGGGGAAGGGAAAACACTAAGGGAACTAGAACACAAAATGACAGCTTGCTGACATACTGCCCACCTGAAAATACATTTTACCCCCCATCTCCCGGAATCTCCCGGAATCTCCCGGTTTGTCCGGGAAACGTCTGTGAAACTCACGGAGCATATAAGGGGCCCGAATATCCCCTTCTTCCACCCACTCACGGTGCTGAGGACCGAAATCAACCCATTCAATGAGATACCAACGTTTCCCTCGTTTAAGCTTACAATCCAGAATTTCGGAAATTTCAAAATGTTCCTCACCCTCAAGAAGTAAAGGGGGTGGGGGAACCCGATCAGGACGCCATTGAGAGGAACCCATGTCTTTCTTTAAGAGACTCATATGAAAGACTGAATGCAACCCCCTGAGGTTTTTAGGCAATTCCACATCAACCGCAACATCATTGAGGATTTTGCGAACTTTAAAAGGGCCGATGTACTTCCACCCCAACTTCCTACTGGGACGCAGCAGTTTAATATTTTTTGTAGAGACATAAACAGAATCCCCAGGTTTCAGATTCCAACCCGCCACCCTGCCCTTGTCCGCTTGAGCTTTGTAGGCTGCCTTAGCAGCATTTAGTGTGTCACACAAAATGGGCCATGCTCGTTGAAGAGAGTGACACCAAGTCCCCGCATCCGTAGGTTGTAGAGGAGGTCCCCAACCCAAAAAGGGGACGGGAGGGCTGCCGTAGCCAAATACAGCCTTAAAGGGAGACATGTTAATCGAGGAGTGATCCGTGTTATTATAACAGTACTCGGCCAAAGGCAAGAGGTCACACCAATCTGATTGCTGATAGTTGGTGAAACAACGTAGGTATTGTTCCAGGGTTTGATTCACGCGTTCTGTCTGTCCGTCAGTCTCTGGATGGTAGCTGCTACTCAACCCCTGCTCCACCCCCATGGTGGCCATCAGTTCCGTCCAGAATTTGGAAACAAATTGAGTTCCTCTGTCGGATATTATTTTAGCTGGCAAGAGATGAAGGCGTACCATGTGATAGAAAAAAGCCTTAGCCAAAGCCTGAGCCGTAGGCAAAGGAACGAAGTGCGCCTGTTTGGAAAATAAATCAACCACCACCCAAATTACGGTCTTCCCTTTGCTGAGAGGCAAGTCAGTAATAAAGTCCATAGACACTACCTCCCACGGTCTGGACGGGGTGGGGAGGGGATGCAGTAATCCAGAAGGTTTCCCCCCCCCCCCGAGATTTGGCCAGCGCACATGTTTGGCAAGTACGAACAAAGTGTAATAAGTCTTTGCGCATGCGGGGCCACCAAAATTGACGACGTAGCAATTGAAGTGATTTGACAAAGCCCCAGTGACCAGACAATTTAGAACCGTGAGCTGAACGCAGAATTTCCCCCCTAAGTGCAACAGGGACATAGAGTTTCCCTTCAGAGTAAACCAAGCTATCTGGATCACGGGTGCATTTGGGAAGCTCCTTGACCAGGGCGTCATCCTCTGGAGACCATGCAGACAAATATTTGTGTTTCCACTCCCCCCCTTTCAAAAGAGAATCCGATGGAGCCTTAGAGTCATTAGGGGCAGGCAGTTTCTTGGCTTGAGCCCGCGTAAGCACAGCCCCTCCCAGTTGGGCGGGAGTGAAGATTGAGTCAATGATGATGTCACGCTGACTCTCATGTTGCGGCAAGCGAGACAGCGCGTCAGCGAGAGAGTTAGCCGTGCCAGGTAAATGGTGTAGGGTGAACTGGAATTTAGCAAAGAAGTCTGCCCAACGAAGTTGCTTTGCATTTAAAGTTCTGGGTGACTTTAAAGTCTCCAGGTTTTTGTGGTCCGTCCAAACCTCAAATGGCACCCTCGCCCCTTCCAGCCAGTGGCGCCAAGACGAAAGGGCTAATTTAATGGCCGACGCCTCCTTCTCCCATATCGACCAGTTGCGTTCGGCCTCAGAGAACTTTTTTGAGACATAAGCCAATGGGTGCAACGTCCCCTCCTCCCCCTCTTGCAAAATGGCTGCACCCATTGCAACATCAGACGCATCGGTTTGCACAATGAATTTTTTAGTCTCATCAGGCTTCGCTAGTATAGGCTCAGAAGTAAACAACTGTTTGAGTTTACGGAAAGCCTCATCGCACTCAGATGACCATTTAAGAGGAGCCCCAGGCTTAGCCGAATCAAACCCCTTCCCCTTGGTTTTTAATAAGTCAGTCAGGGGAAGGGCCACTTGGGCAAACCCTTTGATGAAGGCGCGATAAACAAAATGTTGAATCCCCAAAGTCTCCAAAATAAATCCACGTTTAAAAGGTTAAAGCAAAATTTATTCCAAAGCGATTGGTAGAAACAGGAACACTGGAAAACTGTTAGGAATGGATACAGACCCCAGAGGGCAACATAATAAAGGAACTTTGAACCACAGTATAACCAATAGATCCCTTTCCCGCCGGCGCGCAGAGGGATGGCACTAGCCGGCAATTACATGGGAATGCAACGGTTTGTCTTTCTCAAAACAGACACATGGTTCACAAGAGAAAGATTCCACTAACGAGCAAGCAGATAACGGGCATCTCCTTCTCACACCAGCTGGGCAACCTTGAGCAGTTACATGACTCTACAACAAGAATGCAGATAGCAGAATGTAGCAGGCAACAAGGGGGGGGAAGGGAAAACACTAAGGGAACTAGAACACAAAATGACAGCTTGCTGACAGTCTTTTGTATTCCCCTCCCACAAATCATCTTGTTTATTTCTTTCTCTCTGTGTACTTCGAACAAACCTTCAGAAACTAGATCTGAGCCCCGAGGAACTCTTTTTGAGGCTAACTTTCCCCGCTGGCTAGCTTGCTCCACTCACACCCCTTAACAAAGGGAAATGTTGAGGAGGGGGAGGCATTTGCCTTGCTGGAGACAAGGAAGTTGTCCGGTTCTCCCTCCTGGGCACAGGAGGGTCTTTCTCTGCTACCCACATACAGACTATTGGAACTCAGGTCCCTTCTGAGAGCCAGTTTGGTGTAGTGGTTAAGTGCGCGGACTCTTCTCTGGGAGAACCGGGTTTGATTCCCCACTCCTCCTCCACTTGCACCTGGCTGGATGACCTTGGGAAGCTGTAGTTCTCATACCTGTTCTTGAAAAAGAGCAGTTTCTGTCAGAGCTCTCTCAGCTCCACCCACCTCCCAGGGTGTCTGTTGTGGGGAGGGGAAGGGAAAGGAGTTTGTGAGCCGCTCTGAGACACCTTTGGGTAGTGAAGGGCCATGGGGTATAAATCCAATCTCCTCCTCCTCCTCCTCCTCCT